GTTTCTAATTATATGCAAATTTGTCTTTTGGACGTTTAACTCATTAAATACTGTATCTTAAAAACAGCTTTTAGACTTTGCTTTCCAACTTATGAAAGAAACATTTACCGAGATTTCCTATCCTTGTATAATCAGTATAAGCATTCATTCAGTCAATGCATCTTGCTGAGCTTGATTAAAAACACTACTCTTCTTCCTCTTTATTTTTGAATTAAATTCTTCGACTATCATTCAATGGAAAAACAGCTATTTTTTTAATGAAAAAATTATAAAAAGAGTAACTTTATTTACTACTGATTGAATAGAGACAGAGAAAGAAAGTGAAATAAACGTAACATTGAGGTTTATCAATAGAGGTCGCTTCCGCTGGCGCAACGGAAAGTGGCGGATATCTGTCGCCATGTCGGCTTCATTCATTGATTAACGACGTAAAAATACCCCTTGACCTAAAAAGCGCGATTTCGAAAATATGCAGTAGAACTTCCACGAAGAAAATATTTTGTATTTGTATACTTGTCGTAAAAATGGAATTTCTACCTAAATTCATTAAATTTCTCTTTTCTAATGTGCTGATGTTCATTTCTTAATTACAGTAATTTTAAACTTGGAAGCTGATTTTAATTCAATTAAAACTGTGTTAAGATTACACACCGCTAAATTATAAAACTATACTTAGACGCTAGGGAAAGCATGTTAAAGGAAGCGAACTGTAGTATTAGTATCGAAAGTAAGAAATATTAATACACTGAAATTTTAATAATATTTTATCTCTTCTGATTTTCGTTGGTGTAAATCTGAAGCCAATACTTACCGCACGAGAAGAATTTTGATCAGTTAAATAAATCTCTGAAATTTGAAAGCCATGCAATAATTTACTTTTCAGAAAAATATGAATACTGAATTTCATTCATTTTCTGCGTACAGTCAAATACGCCCGAGACGACAACTTTTTTTTTTTCTATGAAGGTGGTTTGGTTACCCTAGAGAACATGATATTCGGTGATGGAGGATATTGATCTGCACACTGACGTTTTCTTATCCAAGGCTATTAGCAGCTGAAATTGAAATATTGAAGTAAAAGGGCGGTACATTTATTAAGGTATTTTCTTCCTCCTTCCAGCATGCCTTCGTAGTGCCACACACTCGGCGCGTAATCGAAAGGTCAAGGTTTGAGTCCCGGCAAACCACATTTTTCATGGCTATTGCTTCGAAATTTAACCTAATGACACTACAGTGGCGCCCGAACTAAAAAGGTGGTGGACAATAATTCGTCACCACAAATCCCTAGTCGCCCTTTAAAAGGAGGAGTATATTAGGTATTTTCTCACTCCTTCCAGCATTCCTTCGTGGTGTAACGGTAGTGCACTTGGCGCTTATTCGAGAGGTTCAGGTTCGAGTCGCGGTAGGGGCATTGCACATTTTTCACCTCTCCAGCATAAAAAAAAAAAAATGATGACTAATGACTCAGTGTTTTATTAAAAGTGTACTATTGACCGAATCGCAAATTAATTACAAGAGAATAAAAAGGGTAATATAGCAGTGAAATAAAAGTAACAAAATGTACTACAGATATTCTGTAAAAGGATCACTTATGATTCTAAATAGCAGTTTTTGTGGAGATGTCACTTAAATAGGGGAGATACTGTTAGCTTTCAGAAGTGGTCTTTACTAGAGGGTTCAAAAGAAATAATTTTCTGAATTTTAAGTGAATAATATTTTATGCTATGGAAAACGGATGTTATGTATAAAGGAAAAAAGTTGTAAAGCATCTTGCGTAGTATATGTTGATAATAACTTCATAAATGCTTGCTGCTTGTTAAAATATGTGTACAACGAAATCTGTCTACTTAATTTTCTCTTTCAGGTAAGTATTTCCTGTCCTAAAACAGTTTGAACATCGTAAAATAAATCCACCATGTTTATTGGCTAGATTACGTTCTTATCGTTTTAGCACATTTTAAAGCTTCATTAAAGAAATGGCTTGGATTTCTTCATTTTCCTGCAATATTTTTTCTCTTTTTCTTTAAACGTAGAGGCATTGACATGCATATTAAGAATGCGAAAGACATCATTTTGAAATTCTTAACTGTCTTTCAAATTCAGAACGATGTTAGCTGCCGATGTACCTCATCTGTATATGTTTTTAATTTGCTCTACTTTATTTGTACTTTCATTTTCAAAGTAACTTATATCACTATCTGCAAATTGTTATATTCTTATCCGAATTATTCGATGAATTTTTTAGCTTATAATCAACTACACCCGCTGTAGAAATTTTCTGAATCAGTTCGTCCACATTTTCTGCTAAATTAATAAGTAGTCATTATATGATGTTCATAGTGAAGTTAAAATAACTCAGTAATTCTAGGATATAAAGGTTGTGATTAACTAGTTGTATTATAATAGGAGAAAACACTAATTCAGCGTTGCTTATTGTTATCTTTTTGCTTTCTTTTTTAAAATTGTATTTTTGAATTAACCTTTCAGTTTATTTAGTAAGTTGTAGCGTCATTAGTTTTTTTTTTTTTGGGGGGGAAGTGATCAGGAGACAAGGAAAATGATGCCCTCTCCGGGGCCCGAACCCCGGACCTCTCGAATACGTGTCGAGTGTGCTTCCAATTACAACGCGAAAGTATGCGGAAAGAAGTGAGAAAATACCTTATAAAGTCTTGTCTAAATTTTTATTTACTTGGACAGGACATATGATATGCGTGTCATTCTCCTTCAAGCACAAATATGTTTCATTTTTAAAACTTCTTGGTTGAAGAATTTCTTTATTATTGATGACAGCTCTTTTTCCTCTAAAGAGCTCATTAAACATCGCCATTATCTTTCTTTTTCCTTCCCCCTTTTTTTTAAAGTACCAAGGGCATTAAAATTTACCAATGATTATCAGTGATTTTTGAATAACGGTCAATAATGAAGAAATTCTTATCAACATTGCAAGCAGATTCATATATATTTTCGGTCTGATATCGGTTCACTTTCACCACCCAAATTTTTAAAACTAATACGGTATAATTCTTCTAAACAACCGCTACTTGCATTGAATTTGAATAATTTGTAGCTTTTCCTTGAAATATTTTACATTTTATTCACAATTTTCCTGTATAAGCATTTTCAGAAGAAGCCAAAATTAAATTGTTTATTTCTTTATGGGGTTCAAATGTTTCTTTCTCTCTTTTTTTTTTCGGTTCTTTATTTTTTTATTGTTAAAATGATTAATTAACTTACTATGGTGTTAATAACATTTTAATCTAAAGTTAATTATTAATAAAAATCAACAAATTTCAAGTTTAAAAAATGTTAACTTGAAAAAAATTTCATGATTATTATTAAATTTCATGATTATTATTTATGCATGCATGCGGTTTTGCACGCATGCATATATTGAAACGTAAACTAAGAAATAGACTCAACCAATTGCATTGATATCAGAAATAGAAATGAACTAATTGTCGTGGCGCCATTTCAACACGGATTTGTTTCACGTTACCAGCTGGGCAGACAGTCAGTGGTAAAATTAATGTAAAGTGTAAAAGAATGTAGTAGGATAAGTGTTAGGAATGAAATGTTTTAATGTCAAAATCGGACCTATACGACAAATTATATCATGGTAAAAAAAAGACTAAAATAATAAAAGTTATACTAAACTTCATATATGATTTGAAAAATCTGATAAAAAATGGATGAAATTAACAGCATTCTTTCTGTCACAGCCATCAGTTATATTCCTAATGTTCGAAGGTCTTAAATCTGCATTACTTCCAAGCCGTGAATTTTAAATTTAATTGCATTTATTACTAACCTTGGTGAAAATAACTTTCTGGTTCTCTTTTAGCGTGGGTCGGGCCATTCCGAAGACAATAGAATTCAAGGATAACTGCATGAATAGGCAGAATACCTTATTTGAAGTATTCTGAAAGTATTTATTACTTAGACATATTCAAACACCAAAGATTAAAACGAAAAGCGGATTTTATATGAATTTATCAACTGAAACGTTCTGATCAAAGACCACCGAATTATTGATAGCTAATTAGTTTGTTCTGTATTAATTGCTATTTGCATGCTAAAAAAACTAAAATAACTAGAACTGCAAAACATACTGACAAACGAAAAAAAAAACTGTTTTTTGCATTAAATTTTAAATTATTTCATTATTTTTTACTACATTTAAGCGGTGTCAGAAACCCCTATACCGACAAATTGACCATTTTCGATGTAGCTTTTCTCAAAATTTGCTGTAAATACACGCTTGAAATTTTTTGTGTAATTAAAGTATACCTATTTGATTATACTGAAATGAGCTTTTGAAACATTTTGAATTTTAGAGTAATTTACAGAAAATTTTGTTAGGCATATTAAAATTTAAAACTTTTCTCACACAAGAAAATTTTTAAATTTTTTTCTTAGTTTATCGCAAAAAGCTGATTTCAGTAAATATTAGGAAACCTAATAAATAAGCCATAAAAATTTTTGTCAGCAGTAGTTCCTGAGAAAAGGTACATCGAGTATAAAAAAATCACGTTTGGAGAAAAACGCGTTTTTATGTAAAATTCCTCTCTTATCAAAGCATTCGATGACAAATTAAAACTAGATTTTTTACAGTTCTAATTTTCATAGAGATTAAAGAATGGTATTTTTAGAAAGATGAAAGTATAGAGAATTTGAAAATGTAAAAATCCGAAATCACCATTTTTTTGAAGATTTTTGGGTTCCAACAAACACTTCTTAAGATTTGACATCTTGCATCTAATTCTGAAAGGAGTTTAAAAAAAAAGTTGAGTTTCGAAGCAAAAAATGAAATAAATTATTCTAAGGCACAGGGAAAAAGGAACTGTAGAAATCCCTATTGGTGCGCTTTCCTTTTGCAATCTAAAGTAGCCACTTGAAAGAAAGAGGAAAGCGCTTAACCAGTTTTCCCGCCAGTCTGTTCTTTTTTTCTCGCGTGCATCCACACTTGTTGCACTTTTCTACTATTTCACAGGACGTTGACAGTGGCGGAACCTTGCGTATCGTCCATTCAACAATCGTTCCCTCCTCGCAGAACTTGCTGCGCAATGCTTGCTCCAGTTCTTGGTGTGTGGTCAGTTTGCGTTGCTGATGTATTTAACATGTTGTTCGGAGAAAATTACCGCAACAAAGTTATTGGCTAGTTGAAGAATATTGCCTTGTTTGCAATACATGCTAATAGTATTTAGTTGCTGTTTATGCAGAAGAAAAAGTATATTTTTGAGTTGCTTTCCGATTTTGTAAAATTACTAATATTCTCTGATGTATTTTCTTAATTTATTGTTCAGTTAGTGTTAGCTGTATTCATCATTATTTATTACAACTAAAATCACGAGTAGGAAAACAAGTTTTGAAAGTAGTTTCCATATCAAAACAAGTATTACATCAAGTATTCCGTATCTGAAGTTTATGTCACTTCGCAAAAACTTTCGTAATTCTTTTTCTCTTTAAATCACAACGATTGCTTGACGCTTATTCAAATTTTTACAATATGTGCATAATCTTAAAATTTACTTCGGTCTGAAGCGCGGAATTCGGATCAACGATGTGCGGTGAAATTTCTCTTTGTAGATTTGAGCTTTTTCAGAAAACTCTGAAAGTGTATGTAACATTGTTCGGTGTTATAGTGATTATGGGCCTATGCCAAGAAGCAAGTGCCATGATGACAAGTATTAAAGGACCGTACAACAATCGGACGTTCTATGAAAGATTTTACAATTACTGGTCACTGGATTATGATCCTGGTAAGTCCGTTGAAATAAAGTCACTCAGTTAATATTTGAATTTTATGGTCCCATTACAATCTTCCTTTTGTGCCCATGTCTTTTCTGCTCTCTATTTAAAACAAAGTTCACAATTTCGAGTTGTAAATCAAGCAGAATAGAAACAGCCTTCTTTCATTATTGGTAATAATTGGCCATTTACATTCTTTTTGATATTTTCCTGTTTTTTAAAGTACAGTCTCATATAACTATTAAAAAAAATGGTCGTTTATGTTCATGCTGATGTTTTTTATTTTCTGTTTTATGAAATATATCTCGCATAACTGTTGATAATTTATAAAGGATGTTACTGTAATAAGTATTATCAACTCAGGAATTTTATCGCGGGAGAAAAAGCCAAAATTCGCAGGCCGGCCGCATGGTATAACAAAACTTTAGCATTCCGCTAAACATTTCGTGAAAAATTTTGAGGTATTACATTTTTTATTAATATTTCAGGGGGGTCAGGCGTCAGATGGGAATGAAACCATATTACAAATATTATACAAATTTTTAATTGAAATTTACTTTGCCAATTAATTTATCAATTACATTCTCTACACTTATTCAAAATTATTATTTTACATTACAGTTACCATTAAACTGGACGGTGTTTCTATGCCGAATTTTTTATTCGTATACAGTTTCTGTTCATTAAGAAGTACACATTTTAGAAAAGGATCATTTGGTATCGAATTGTTTTCGCATTGGTATACAACACAGAGCAGTTTCGTGTAACCTCGTGGTATGCGATTTTTTTTCTCGTATTCCAAAAATCCAGTAAAACTTCGGTTAATTCTGGACTGGGTTCTAAAACAGGATTACTTTACAGAATGAAATTCTAACAGAAGATAGCATGAGAATGATCAAAACTAATATAGCATTGAAATAACTATAACATTTAAAAAAAGTCAGAATAATATAACATTAAAATATGTATAGAATTTTAAAAAAATTATATTTGCGAAAATTTCAGATAATTGCTAAAATGTGTGAAAATTTATCAGATAAAATTCGCGTCTCGGTAATGTTGATTCCATCAAGAAAAGTCGCCCAATATATGTCTTGTGAAGATGCAGTGTGAAAATGCACTAATAATTTAAAAATAGATTTTATGTACAAATATGCAGATATTATCGGCTATCCTTTACGTAATGGAATTACCACAAGTGTATAAGAAGAATAAACGTAGTCAAACATTACATAAAATTATATAAATAAAGCAAATTTTAAATAAAATAAGTTTACAAGAAATTTTCATGGAAGAAAAAGTAATGGAAATTTAAGCAAAGTAAATTAACCAGACTAAATTTTATTCGAATCTATACAGAAACTTTTACTGTAATTAATTTTGCAGATTGATGTGCCTATAATTATTAATTGCGCTCATAAATACTGGCATGTACGAGTAGCAGCAATTTTGTTTATTTTATAACAAAATTTTATTTCAAGTAGGCGAGCATCTGTTCGCTTTCAATTAAATCTTTTGTTACTGTAATGATGTTGACATCTTAAATACAACTTATCCAAAATAGCATATTCAAAGTGTTGAGAAACAGAATCTTTATTTTAAACTTACAGGTAGAATTTGACAATATTAACATAGAATATATAGTGACGTTCTCATGACAACCGATTCTCGCATATGTCTAAGACAAGACACATTCTCGCATATGTCTAGAAGACCAAAACCATACGGAACCGTGGATATCATCTTAGGGTTAATTGTATTTTGTATTCGGCAGCGATTGTACTTGCTTTGGTAGTACATATACTAAAATTGGAATGATACAGAAACAATTCAATTATGGTATTATAACTAAGAACCATAGATGTTGACTTTGACGGAGTTTCCCACAGACTTATGAATAAGTTGCCTTTCAGTGATAATGTAACTGATATCGTTCTGTATATCGGCAAATGGTTTAAATATATTGAAGACGAGCACCTCCCTAAAACGACTTAACAAAACTTAATCGCTTTCAGAGGTGGTGTTATGTCAGGGAGAGGTCGCAAGAGAGGATTCTTTGCATTACAACATTTAAATTTTGAAATTTCCTTTTTCCTCCCCACCTACAAAAGCGCACTGTAATACAATTGAATTTCAGAATTTCTTTATTTAAATGTATAATATAAAGGTGAAGAATTTTGCCTTGACAAACTTCAAAATGAAAAATTAATGAATATGTTTAGTACTGCAGTTCCATTGATAAATTTCAGCAGTGGTGTGGAATAATGGTTGATTTAATTATTGTTTTGATTATAAATTATTTGAACAAGAAGTTCTTACTGTATTTTTGTGGACGCGTATTATTAGTTAAAGCTTTTTAAGTAGCATTGAAAATTGGCCTTCTTTTTTTATATGTCACTAAAAAGTTAACCGTTATATTTTATGTAATTTTCTTTTCTGATATTTCAATAAGAATTTCACTGACTAGTTTTACCCCACTTTTATTAAATCATCACTTTTATTTGCTTTCCAAGTTTTTTAATTTTTATTGAATGTGCTTACAAGAATATAGGATTCTGATTTGCATTATTTGATTGTAAATAAACAGATATTTATATTTTAGCATTAAGCGCGTTATGTTTTCGTTAAAATGAAAAAGAAAATTATAATGCCCGTAACTGTTGATTTTTCCGCGTTATGAATCGCTGCTAACTTGCTTGGCTGATTTATCTTCCCCTCCCCCCATATTTGTTTTCGCTTCAAAATGCAATTCTTTTGCAATTATGTAACATAATTAGGAATGTACTGGCTACAGGAAGGATTATTTCCCCTTCAGATCTAAAAACTTATGTAGGATAGGAAAAGAAGAGGCAGAATCCAGGCTATTACAGACAAGTAGTGATTATGAGAAGTGTTAGAGGTACGAGAATTAAATTGTGGAATATTAGGGGATGAGCGATCAGAAGATTTTGAAGAATTTCACTTCAGCTGTAACTTACATTCAGACTTTACCTGGAGTCTTCAGTAGCATCTACATAAGCTAGTTTTAACGAGTTCAGATAAATAACCAAGTCATGTGGATATTCGATGTCCAGATAATAAAATCTCTGTAACTCCTTATTTGAAGTCATTTACTTTTGATGCATTACATTTTTATCATAGAAGCCAGCGTTATTCAAAATTCTATGAAATATTTTATATAGCTTACGGATTTTTTAAAAAACAATATGGCTGTGTTGTACATGTAATCCATTAATAACGCTATATATATGTCAAAACATGGAGTTGTGAAAGAGTCGTATATCTATCCAAAATGTCCCGATTTTCTGCCTTCCTGAGTTAAAATGATGTTTGGTTCACCATCGGTTCAATAGTGGAGGTTATAGTCGAGATGTCGTGTTTAAGTGTGGATGTTTATTTAGATTCTCGCAAATGCTGCTCATTTTCAGAAGTAGCTACCTTAGGAAGGTGGTCACCGCGTCGCGATCAGAGAGTCCACTGTATTTATACTCTCAGAAATACTGGTCATTTTTCAGATTTGACGTCTCTATGAGATGGTTGCCGAAGGCAGTTCACTTAGTGTTTGAGATTTTACCGTTTCATAAGTAACAATATTAAATCAGAACTTTTTCTTTGTTAACATTATAAGGTATTTCTCCCATCTTCTTGGCATGCCTTCGTGGTGTGGTGATCTGCACGCTGGGCGCGTATTCCAGAGGTCCGTGGTTTCATACCCAGCGAAAGTGTTGCTCATTTTTCATCTCTCTTGCTCCAAAAATACCTAATGTCTCTACAGTGGCGCCCGAACTAAAAGGGTCGTGGATGATGATTCTCCACACCCAGGATTTGGCGATTGGGTCACCTATAAACCCCAGTCGCCCTTTAAAAGGGGGAGTATATAAGGTATTTCTCCTGCCTTCTTGGCATGCTTTCGTGGAGGGCTGGTCTGCACGCTGGGAGCGTATTCCAGAGGTCCGTGGTTTGATTCCTGAAGGTGTTGTTCATTTTTCATTATTCCTGCTTCCAAAAAATATCCAATGACTCTACAACATTATTAAATTATTGTAATTCCTTCATCAATAATATAAGGTTAGTTTTACGTTTCCGTTGTTCTTAGATTAAATGTTTTATTATTTTTAAATTAGATTATATTTTCCATAAGTCTTAAATTTCATCTGTTCTCAACAAAATTTTTGAAACGTATACAAATAGGAATGATAAATACAGTGAACCGTTTGTAAGACGACCACCCAGGGTTCCAAATCATTTTGATCCTCTGTGGAATTAGTCATCGTAGAGAAGTGATGCTAAATGCCGATGTTTAGAATTTGCTCTGAAATACTTTCAGATGTGTTGTTTACATGTGATGGCTGTCACGAGAGGGTTGATTTGTAATTCATTTACAAACGCAAGAAGAATGAAAGGAGAATGAAGAGGATAAATTGTGAATTCTGTAGATCGCGGTAGGAATGTTATTTTTTGAAGTGCAAATCTCAGACTTGTCAATTTTAATTTACTAAAGCTCGCCTGCACATCCTAAGAAAAGTCGGAAGTAAATTATGATAAAAGTTAACAAGGCCATCGTCGTTGACGGCTGTTTGATTCATTTATTTATTTAATTTTGGAGTCTCGTGACTCGTCTCATGAGCAGACAAAAGAATGTTGACCTTCTTGTTCTCGCAAAAATGTTTCAGTTTTTTCCATGTGCATGCTTAAAATAAAAAATAATAATAAAAAAAAAAAATCTGTTTAAGCAATCAAAAAATATTCTATATCCATACTCGTATATCTGTGTATATATGTGATGTCTACAAGTTGTAAGTGCCTACTAAGTTTTATTTTCTGATAGGCCCGTCTTAAAATGGAAAATATGAGAAGTCAACCTGCTGAACTAACCGTCTAATCTACTGAACACTGTCTAACCTAATAAACAAACTACCGAACACATGTCTTAACATTGTCCACTGAAGATTTACATTAGCGACAATAGGGCAAAACCATTAATATACTCTATGTTATAATAAAGGTTTGA